ATTTCATAGTGCTTTTTGTTTGGTTTCAGTTTTTTAGCCATAATAAGTCTCCACACAGATTTACTGAGAGGTGAGAGCTATTTTTGCCACTTATTTTCCTACTGCTGAATATATATTCAATTTGTTTTTGGCCATGCATCCAAAGCTGGATATGCAATAGCAAAATGAATAAAAATGAATTTTATGGTTTTACTTGCATATACGCATAATTTAAATCTGTCTAGCTTTGCTCTATCTCTTTACCTGTCTCTCTCTCTCTCTTTCCATCGCCCTCAATATCCATCTCTTTCGCTCTCTCTCTCTATATATATATGCACATATAACTCACATTCAAAGCTTGTTTTGTAGTCCTGTTTGGTAGATCTGCCCGAGTCTCTTGGGGCCTTGTTTAGATTTATTGCTTTTTCGTTCTATTCTCGGGGCTCTTTTCACTTGATAATTGATGAATGCTTTGCGAGTGCTGCATGCGCCCACCGTACACTTACCAAAACTGTCAAACACACATACATATATATATATATACACACACATGTTCAAGGATTTACTCTTCGTTGCTGAATGTGCAAGTTTTGCTTTTAGCTTTTGTTTATTTGCATGACAAATGCTCACAGATCAGCCAAAAATAAACAACGACTTGCCAATCACTGATTCAATTAAGTCAAGTGCAGCTAACACACATACACACACACACACACACAGAGAATCTAATGTCAGCTTAAAGGGAATTGCGTCAGTTTCAATTGCCCTCAGCCTTAAACTGTCATCATTGTGCAGGTGGTGTTGGAGCGTGTGTTCATTGGGCACCCAATGGGTAAGGGGTAGAGATGGAAATCGAGCTCCTGCTGACAACGCGCTCCATAAAAAGCTTGGCAAGAATACGTGCGTGCCAAGTTGGCAGCTAAGTAGGCAACTGAAAATCAAATCCTGTCACAAATGAACGCAACAAAAGCAAACAATTAAAAAGTCTTGTACTGAAAATGGCTCGAAGAAAATATACCCTTTATTAAATATTTATAACAAACATTTTACTTTTTATTCAAGGAAGTAGATAGTCAGAACTTGACATCAGTTGTCTTCAGTTGTCTAACTATTATCTAATAAATTAATTTGACAAGTGATTGAAAGCCCAGTTCATGAAGCAGCTATCTTAGACTGTTTTATTTTATTAATTTTGTAATAAAAATAATAAATATATAAAAATGTTGTATACCTTTTTGAGAGCTTGCTTGCAGGGTATATAAGCAACAGCAAGAAATGGCGACACTTTAATAAAGCCAGCAAAAAAAAACAAAAAAAAAAAAACCAAGAGACGTCTACCAAATGCTGCTCAAAGTCACAGGCAGCTGTTTATTGTTTATGTGTGTGTGTGTGTCTGTGTCTGTGTGTGTTGATGTTGTGCGTGTGTAAGTGTGTTGGTGCGTGAATGATTGCCGGCGCCTGCTGATGACAAGTGTTGCGTGTTTTGAATATAGGAATATGGGACTTATACTTACTTACGCACTTACACAAAAGGCAGACACACACTTATACCCATACTCATAGCCATACTCATTGCGATACTCATACATATGTGTACATATGTTGTCTACTTATACAGTGCTTGTTTGAGCACGCCCCTTCTAATGACAAGCCATGTGAACTTCTCAAGTTGTGGCTTGATTATAATGTGATACTCGTAATACTTTGTGTGATTATGTGTCACTGCAAGAGTCCTCTGCCAGCGCGTCACTTGGCTTTGAGCAACAGCTAAAAATCACCTTAAGAGTGTGTGGAATAAGCGACAATTTGCCAAAATCTTCAAACTTGTACTTTCTATACTTACAACAATATGTTGTATTGTTGCTGTTCGAATTTTTTGGCACTTAAAGTTTGCATTTATTTTTACTTAATTCAATGAAATTGAGTTTCAATTTGAGTTTGAATTTGCCGTTCGTTAAAGCTTTCAATGCCCACAAAAGGAATTATTGTTGTCGAAAAATTGCGTTTCGCCCTTTTAATGGAATTTTCTTTTACGTTGTATTCGCATCAAAATTCCGCTCATTTGTTGCATATCCCAGAAAGGGGGAGTAAATTTGATCAGTTCTGCTTCCCCATTCAGTCATCAATCATCTGCCAAGCAGCCACGCCCCCTAATCAAAGCGAGCGAAATGTGTCGAACAGCAAATATGCAAAAACGGGCAAACCAATTTGGAGGTTATAGCCACCATATGCTAACTGTGCGCCTAAAAGGCTGCAGCAATTTTGTTGATTAGTCCGGTGTCTGCGGGAATTTCCCTCCGGTTTCCTCTTTCACATAACAGACTTTCTCACACGTCCTCTCCCTCTCACACTCCCTGTCGCTCTACATGCGGCCAAACATAAAAACTAAAAGCCATACACCCACAAGGACACACCCAAATACGCATACACACATACACACACACACACACACACACAGAGACACACACACACACAGGCAAACACATAATTGATACAGCAAACACAGCGTTACGTACAATAAAGGCGTACGCCGTTTTTGGAGTTTCTTTCGTTTCTGGAAAACCGATTTTTTTTATACACTCAGAATATGCAAAAAAAAAAAAAGAAAAAAATATGTTGCAAGACTCAAAATAGTTTTACATTTCTATCAATTCGAGCGAATTTCAACCAATGGCCAAAAAGTAAATATTATTGCTCTTAGTTAACACGAATTCTATTTAAATATTTATTGGCATTAGCCAGTCCGATTCTCATTGGTTTGCGAATAAAAGCCTTTAATATCCTTTGAATGACCAAACAGTGCTCCCTTGCTGAAACCATTTGAATTATTTATAAGTGACTGGAACGATTTGGCTTTAAGTTATCCAACTGATTTTGATGTAAAAAAGTGGCATTAATTACTACAGCCATTTTTCAACATATATCGATTAGTTTTTTACTTAACTTTAAAGATTCTTTTTCATTATTTATCTGTAGCAAATTGCATAGCAAAGAGCATTCATGAAACGTTGCCAACACGGTGTCTCTGGCCATTTCACTGTGTGTGTCTTTTTGCAGCTGCAGGATTTTATTATTGCTTAACTGGCTTTAAGGCAACGCAGTGGTGACTCAGGCAAACACACACAGGCACACACACACACACACAGCAGAGCAGCCTTTAGATGATGGCCACCTTTTTAGCACAGGTGCTCTCCTGCTGATGTATGCTGCTGGGGCCAAAGTCGTTTTGTGCTTGGGTCGTCTGATATATGTGGCCACGTGGTGGTGACCGACAGACTGCCAGGTCGAGCTGGCATGTTCCAACCAGCGAGATAGCATCAGCCAAACACCTGCCACTCTCCTCCTCCTCCTCCTAGATTCTCTCTCTTTTTCTCTGCCTGGGTATTTTGGCAGGCGTAGATTTGCGTTTCTAATCAAGGTTATTTTATGTTTGCCAAGCGCGCTCTTAATGCCCAAAATAACATTTTTAGTTATATATTTGCTGTTGTTGTCGGATTTGTTGTGGATGCTGTTGTGGCTGGTGTGGCTGGGCCCTACATTTGGCAGGCATTCGGTATGCTGATTCCAATCCAAGCTGTTTTTTGGCTAGCGTGTCGCATGCGTGATAAATTCAAGTCAAGTTTCGTTTTAGCCTTAATGCAGACACATTTCGGGCAACAGCTCAGCGTCCTCTGGCTAATTAGACCATAGCAGCGGGTGGCTCGTTGTGCATCCTGTGGCGAGGCGACTGCCTTCTAACAAAAGCAAACATTAACAATGCCAATTGTTTGCCAAGACAGCACCATTATCGTTAGCCACGTAGGCACTGGATGGGGGATGAACAGCAGCACAATGAAGCGCGGCACTTGAGGCCGCATTTGGTTGCCTTGACTTGTTGGCTAGACAAATTCCCTGCTATTGCCAGTTGTGGGGCTGCAAATGCATGTTGATGGCTTTCTATAGTCCCTGTCCAAAAATCATCATCATCATCATCATCAACAGTATGTCAGATGTTTTTGTTCTTCAGTTAGCCTGCCTTTTGCAGCTTGTTTGTTGTGTCTCATGGAAATTGCTTGGTTCAACAACAGCGTTAATTTAAATGGCCGCGTTGAAAAGTATGCTACACTAAACATATATTTATATTAATGTATGTGTGTGTATTTGTGTGTGTGTGTGAATTTGTGTGTCACTGTATAATAGACAACTCAATGATACGATTCATTCATCAATCAATACGAGCAATGCGCTGCTGGCTTTGGGTCAAAAGAGTTTGTCAATCGACTGAGGCTGCAAACAGCATGCAATGCATGTCTGTAATATCTGTCTCTGTATGTGTGTGTGTGTGTGTGTTGCCTGTAGAGCACTTAATGCGGCAATAATCGAGGATACGAGAACATGACAACATATGCATATCTGGGTTGCTGGCATTAAAGGCTTGTCAATTTGCATTGATTTGACACTCTTTCGATTATACAAATGATGCATGTGAATGAACCAGCGATTGTTTGGGAGAAAACAAATTGTATCTGAATGATGATAGATTTGGATATATGATAATAATTGCAAGGGTTAAGGATGTTTGCTTTAACCTAGACAGCCAATTTGAAAACAACTTAAATCTTCTTAGATCTATTTTGTATTCAATATGGATCTTCATCATGTAAGGCATCAGAAGTCTGAGCCGATTTAAATGACAGAAATTACCTGTTTTTATTTTATAAAATTTTCCAGGAAGCTTTGATCTGACCAAAATATTGTTCATATACTATTTCCGTTTAATTTACTTTATCAAGAATTCTTAACAGTTATTGACAATTTTTAAAAAAATTCAAGTCATTAAAAATGTAATAAACTACATCATGACTTATTTATGTTTAATTAACAAACCAAAAAAAAAGAGAAATTCTTTTTCGCTGACAAAATACAAATTGCCATAATAAATAATAATTTACTTTCTACTTTCTATATATATATATATATATATATATATATATATTGTGTTTTGTATCTGGGCTCACGTTTTGCTCTCTATCTTTTTGCAGGCTGACATGTTCAAGGCCAACGAGCGCTCCACTTTATGTTTAGGTAAGTTCAGCTCGATAAATAATACATATACTATGTATGTATGAATAAGCAAACAGAAACTCATTAAAAATGAATGTGCTCTGACAATTTAAACTTTGAGGCAACCAAATGGCAGCTACTGAGCAATAACGTGGTAAATGTTTTGGTTGCCCCACACAGCCACCCAGCCAGATGCAGACTTTTAAATAGCTAATCAAAAATACATATAGACAGCAGCAGAAGAAGAAGAAGCATGACCAGGGATTCACTGGATTCACTTACAGGGGTAGTCTGACACAAACCCAAACACAAACAAAACATTACCAAGTGTGTAAAATGAAGAAAATTCATATGTGCATATATAAAAGGACCAACAAGATTTTGTATAGATGGGTGTGTGAGTGTGTCTGTGTGTGAGTGTGTGTGTGTATTTGTGCTTGTGTATCTGTAAATTTGATAAAGTTAACGAGATACGGAAACCGACTGCGGCAAAGCTTAAATTAATCATACGCCATGTCATGTTTAATACAAATTTATTTTACACATATTCGCAAAACTTTACGGCTTACATGGAAATTTCATTAAATTTCAAGCCCTTCGGCAAATGTTGGCCTCAAGTGTTAATGTTGTAATTGTTGTTGTTTCTGCGGATGCTGCTACTGTCCTTGATGATGATCTTGGTAAGAGCACATAACGCCCCTAAACTGTCATTAGTTAAAATCACATATCATTGACAGTGCAAATTGACCCCAAAGCTCCACAAAATAGGCTTTCGTAGGTATGTATGCCAGCTACAGTAGTTGCTCGATAATTGAAACTACTCAAGCTAGAAGTAGCTAGAAGGAAATTCTAATATTTGTTGTGCTCCTTATTTATTATATTTCTATATGTCTATAAAAAATAATTCTTATATTTTTAGTAAATTCCATACACCAATTTTTGAAAAACTTTAAATTTTTTTAATTGAAATTAAGTACACTTAACTCACGAGTCTCAACCGTTGGCAACTCAATTTATTTATGTTCCGAATTCTATTGCAATTTTATGTATGGATATAAAAATGTTTGAAAACAAAAGTTGATCGGAAACTGCTTAAATGCTTTTGCCATCTCCAAATGACCACTGTATATGTGAAGGCATCAAGCATATGAAAACATAATCTATCTATATTCACACTTATGTGTCTGTGTGTGTGTGTGTAGGTTGCTTTCAAGTGTGAACTGCTGTTGTTGCAGATGTTGATTGTTGTTGTCGTTTGTTGGGCGCTTAAATGTTTGCCTACGTGTCAGCTACTGTCAGAGACAGTCGCCTCTGCCTCCTTGTGCCATCCATCCACCAGGCCATCCCCCAGTCCCAGTTAGCTTATCTCTCGCATATGTCGGCGCCAGTTTTATGTCAGTTCATTGATATTCATTTGGTTGTGTGTGTCTTTGTTTATGTGTTTTTCTGTGTGTGTGTGTGTGTGTGTGTGCGCTGAACCCTTTGTACCTCACTTGACTGCCGCTTCAGCTGCCTGAATGGTTGCTAGACAACAAAAGTGAGCCCGCCATACCCCAGGAAATTCAATTAAAAACGCAAATGACGGTGCGCTCAGTGCCACAAATCGGCTTACGTGTCCTGTCCAGCAATTGTTGGCAAAATTGTCCTCAAGTGGCAACCAGCAGCAAACAGTTGGGCAGCAACCAGCTGCAAAGTCAATTTCAGCTGAAGTTGGATTTGCTCTGCGAGCGGTTTCCCCTTTTTTATTGCATACTTTGCTGCGACACCCATTTTCTCGTCTCTCTTCGTGTCTTCCAATCAATATGGCCTTTAGATTCGTTATGGATTCATATCCGGCAGTCCTTCCATTCATTTTTTGTTATTGCTTGCTTTGCATGAATGGTTGTGCTCGTCCATAGATAGATCAACTGCACTTCTTATGCAATTTTTTTCCATGCACACCTCTTTTGCAAGCTAAAGTTTTTTGTGGCAACCGCAACTCGCACAACTTTTGACTCTAGTCCTCGGATATATATGTTTTATATCGTTTGCGGCATCTGCTTTGCCTCGCAGCCATCAAGCCGCAGCTTACTCGACTCATTTTGGACTTTAAAGTTCAAGAGTCTGGCAAAAGTTGTAAGAGCACAAAGCGCACTAAATCTCATCAATTTTTCAATGCTCACCTGAGAGCGTTACGCCCAAATATGGTGGCAGCAACCAAATTAGCCAAGTTTCTGGCCAACTTTCAAGCGAAGCGTAAATTTCATCCTGCCCCCAAAAGTACATTGATATACATCTCTATACACATCTTTCTCTCCTGCTCTATCTCCTTCTCTCTCTCTCTCTCTCTCTCTCTCTCTTGCGCTATCTATCTATCTATTTCTCTCTCGGCTGGGGCCTAGCTGACAGCAAGACACTTAATCCGAACGTTTACACCTCAACGCACACAAAGTGAGAGTGTAGATAGAAAAGGGGCGGCATATGGGGCGTATCCTGTGGCTGAAGTCGCAATAAATTCGTGTATCTACTTAATAATTAACTGGCAAAAGTTTTTGGCGCCACAACAAAGAAGCTCCTCAGTCATTGCTATACACAACAAGTATAAGAATCTGACCCCAAACTGATGTCAAGGCATCAATAGGCAATGGTTGTTTGTGCTGTTTGTATATGTGTGTGTGCGAGTGTGTTTGTATATATATATATGTGTGTGTGTGTGTGTTTAATTTAATGAATTTAAGGAATTCGCTGAAATGGTTTTGTAAACGGCACTAACTGAATTATCGATAGCCCAACAAGTTAATAAATAGTTATCAAACTTAATTAAATCCAACACTTATTGTTAATAAAATTGTTACGAAAAGTTTTATAGGACATAAACTCAGTTAATTTGGTTGTGTTTTTGTGATTGACATTTTCTTAAATTCGAATTGATTGTTAAGCTGTGTACATTTTATTTCTAATTAGAAATAAATTCTGATCAATGAAATATGTTTGGCATTCTATGCGAATAACTCAGGAGTATAGTTAAAATAAAACTTTAAAACATATTATGCATTAATTAAAATACAAATATCTCTTGATAATAACTTATTTTCAGTTTGGCTACACTCAAAAAATAAGAATCGCAGTGAATTTTATCCGAAGAGATAGAAATCAGCATATTTTCAGTTTGCCCAGTTCGAATTTCATGGGAGTTTTGCGTTCTCAGTGGCATTCAAGGATTTTTCCATGACTATTGCGGTTTTTGTTTTGGGGCGAGTGAGTGGAGGAGAAAAAAGTGAAACGATTACAAGCAAAATGCGGCGTTGCTTTAATTGCACTTGAACTCACCTTAAGTTGGACACCCTGCGGACCGACACAGCGCGATGCGGTGAACCCTCGGCTAACCCTTGGCGACCCTCAGCAGTTCAGGTTAATTTGTTCAGCGTCGGCTCGACGATGTTCCAGTTGCTCATTAATTACAGCTAAGTCGTCGTCGGCCCCTAATGATTTACCTGCAGATGTTTGCTGTTGTTGTTGGTGTTGCTACAAGTTTATGTATGTTGTTATTGTTGTTGCTGTTGTTGATGGTGCAAGTTTTGCGTTTTATTATTTCTTGATTCCATTCCTTTCACTGAGCTCGTGCGAATTCTCGCTTTGGCTTGTTATCCTTGCTCGGGGTCCACTATCCTTCTTATAAATGCTTTGCAATCAAATACAACCAGCGACTTTTGCCCATTCACTTCTCAATTTTTTTCTCTCTTTTTTGCTTCTCTCTACTTTTCTTCTTGTCTTCCTTCGGTTGATTATTTTAAGCGCTATCTGACCGTTCTTTTTTTTTGTATTTTTATTATTATTATTTTTTTTTTTTTTGTTGATTACGCCCGCCCTCTTATGGCGCATTTAATTAAGCAAATAGCAACGCAGCTGAGCTTAGTATTTTTTTTATTATATTTTCTTTACTTTTTTCCTTTTTTATTATTTTTTGTATGCTTTTTTATGCTTTTCTTTTGGGGGTTTCGCACTTGTTGCCCATTTTGTGGCATATTTTAGGAGCAATTTTTGACGTCCTTTTGTGTAATTTCGTTTCTGTGGAAGGAAGGTGAAAGTGTGCCTAGACCAAAACAGTTACGATTAGGATTTCAGATTAAATACACAAATTCAAGATAACTTTGGCGTAAATTTTCATTTTCAATATTTTCCAGTGTGCTAGTTTGGCAATTGTAGCTTCACATTAGCGCATCTGGCGCTACCTTTGGCAACTTGTCGCCTGTCGCCTGTCGCTTTCAACTACACTCTATGCCAATTTGCAACTAAATTGCAGAGTTGTCATTCGTGCAACCGTGCGACAGCCAACTAGTAAGAATATTGCACTCGACAGAGCAATACTCTTTACTAACAATAGCAAGAAAAAAATATCAAAATTAAACTCAGTTGTTGCATTTTAAATACTCAATTTTGTACACAAAAAAGAGTCTCACACGAGCAGACAAAGGGGTAAAGCACACAACTAATATACTCCATTTACGCCAAGGAGAGCAGTGTATAATAAACTGACTCACGTTGCCAGCAACAATCTAATACGGAATATTCTACTGCGCGACGTGACAACTGGGAACTGGTAACTGGGGACTGCGAATTGAGAGCCACGCAGGAAGAGGACACCACAAAACCGTTTTCATGTGCAGACAGTGTTGAAGTTAAGTAAATGCCACGCGCGGCTGCAGCAGGCGCTCAACCAGACTCCGAGAGACTCCTGGCTGGGAAAAAACCTTTAGCAAAAGCAGCCGCAAATCTAATTGGAATTGTAATAAAAATGTAAAATCAATTAACTTGAGAGTGCGAACGCTTGTTGCGTCTGCTCCTCCTCCAGCAACTAATTTGCAACAATTAATAATGCATTAAGGAGAAACTGACACTAAGAGAGGGAGAGAGAGAAAGAGACTGCGACTGAGAGAGAAAGAGAGTGAGAGAGAGAGAGGCAATAAGCATAGCTTGAGCCAAAATGTCAAGACTGCATACATGCAGCAAAAGCCAAGCGAGACGATGGCAATAACAAGGTC